TTTTTTTTTTTTTTTTATTCAAAAAAACAAAAATAATAAACTATTGGAATTGTTTTTTTTTTCTTTTTTTTTTTTTTTAATACACCTTACTGCGTTAAATTAAATTTCTTGTTTTGTTGTTGTTGTTGTTGTTGTTGTTATTTTATTTTATTTAAGAAGAAAAAAAAGGTGTAACATATGAGAGTATAAAAATGACGTAGTAGGCTATTTCTTTGATCATATTTATCGATAAAAGAAAGAACATGCCATGTTTTTCTTGATACAACTTAAACGACAAGTAACATATACATACATATACATATATATACATATATATATATATATATATCAATAAATAGCTAGTATGTATATGTATATATGTGTTTGTGATAGAACCTGTTGCGATAGAAATGTATTGGAACTATGAGAACCAATACATTGAAGAAATACAAAATAAAACAAAGTGTTGTCTCATTTAGTTCAGTTTTTTTTTTCTTTTTTTTTCAGAAAATTTCATTAAACTAAGTACTTATAACAACGTTTTACAATTTTTTACTTTATAAATTGTTGATTTTAAAAGACAAAATAAAACACAATATATGTAATATAAGAAAAACAATAACACATAGTAAGAAGAAGAAGAAGAAGGTCTTTGGTGTTCTATACTTAATGATTATACTAACATAAGTGTTGTGTATATACCATAAAAGAAAAACATTTGTTTGAAGATCGATTCGAATGCACGAACGAAGGTCAACTTTTTTCTTCTTTGACCAATGCACACTGCCCTAATTATGATATAAATTATTTTAACAAAACTTTTCAAAAGATACAAGAAAAACTAATGTCTTTTACACATTTTAAAAATGCACTATAGAAAAAGAAAAAGTAATCCTTTAACACGTTGAACGCCACGCAAATTCTTAGGGGAATTCCCGTCAGGCCACGGGCATTACTTTGTATTAGAAAAATAGTTGAACGTGTCAGTCACATGTGACTGACGTGGCCTAAACAGAAAGTTTAGTGTCAGTCGCCGATGACTGACGTGGCGCTCAACGTATTAACCAGTTAACTGAGATTGACTAATTTACTCGTCATGAAAAGAAGTAGTAGGATTTTTCTATTGACGTGTATACTCGTCATGAAAAAGAAAGTAGTACGATTTTTCTATCGACGTGTATACTCGTCATGAAAAAGAAAGTAGTACGATTTTTCTATCGTCGTGTATACTCGTCATGAAAAAGAANAAGTAGTACGATTTTTCTATCGACGTGTATACTCGTCATGAAAAAGAAAGTAGTACGATTTTTCTATCGTCGTGTATACTCGTCATGAAAAAGAAGTAGTACGATTTTTCTATCGACGTGTATACTCGTCATGAAAAAGAAGTAGTACGATTTTTCTATCGACGTGTATACTCGTCACGAANAAAAAGAAGTAGTACGATTTTTCTATCGACGTGTATACTCGTCACGAAAAAAGAAGTAGTACGATTTTTCTATTGACGAGTATACACGTCATTTTTTTTTAGAAGTAGTACGATTTTTCTATTAACGAGTATACACGTCATGTAGGAAGTGGTACGATTTTTCTATCGACGAGTATACACGTCGTGGTATGCTCGATTGATGGTAAAAAACAAAATATAAATGTTTTTTTTTTTTGTATAAATTATTGAAAAAAAAAAGTTGTGTTGTAGTTTATGTTGGGGTATGAATGAGTGGAAGATTATTTTAATTTAATAATTATATTACAAAATTAATAATATATAAAGATTGAACAGAAGAAAATAAAAGAAATGTTTTTTTCTAATCGTTGAAACGTTCAAAAAAATGGTTTTCTATATATGTGTGTGTGTGTGTGTGTTAGTATAGTTGGAATCCTTTAGTAATACATTGAACAACACACGTTCTGAAGACCGATCGTAAATTTAGATAACATCCACGCGGATCTGTGATGTTATCCTTGTAAAGGATCGTTCCCTTCTTACCCCTCTACCTCCCCCCTCCCCCCCTGTTTATCCCTCACCATTTATAACCCGTAGTATCTTACACCCTTCTGAATTAAGTTTTATATTCCTTCTTTTGCAAAGGGTTATGGTTCTTACGTGACAAACATTACGAGGAATAAGTTACTTCAGGTGAACAACATTAAAAAATATGTAAAAAAAAAAAAAAAAAAATAATTCTTATGAGAAACACTAGGAGCGACATTAAAAAACATTAAAAAATAAAAAATAAAAAATAATTCTTATGGTTAGAAATAAATAAACTGTTTTGTTTTTACAACATACAACACAATGAGGAATATAATTATAATGAAAGTAATTTATTGTGAAATAAAATTAAGTTTAAATAAATAATTAATGCAAATGAAATACATTGAAATTCAAATAAGAATAAAATAGATTAGTGTAATTGTTTTTTAATGATTAAATATTGATAGGATGAAAATGAGGTGGTTGTAATGGTGATTGTGGTGGTGGTTGGTGGTGGTGATGGTGATAATGGCTCGCGTTCAAATAAAATAAAATTAAATTTAAATAAATAATTAATGAAAATTAAACATATTGATATTAAAATAACAATAAAATAAATTACTATAATTATTTTTCAATAATAAAATATTAATAAGATGAAAATGAGGTGATTATTGTGGTGGTAGTTGGTGATTTGTTCAAATAAATTAGAAAATATTTCTATAATATCCACGTGTGTTTTCCTTTTAAATTTTCTTTGTAAAATAAAATATATATATATATATATATATATAATTAAAAAAAAAATGTGTGCCACATGTTTTATTATGTGTGTATGATGTGTATGTGTATATGTTAGAACACGTTCACTGTACCCACTGCAGTAGTTGCGGAGGTTTGAAGCTGATGTCAAGCCGATAGATAGCCTCGCAGCTTAGTTTAACAGTTTTAAGTTGTCGAAATCTAGCTGATGTTTCCATTTTGCAATAAACCGGTCCAGCAGCTGGTTCCCTTCTTAATGACAAGGTCACTCGAAAATGTCCATCAGCCCCCATTTAGCCCCATAATCCTACTCGCTTATACGCGAGTTCACTTTTTTGATCTTTTTCTTTCTTTTTCTTGTTCTTTGTTCTTGGTAAAGTTGTTTATAATCAAATCACAATGTGTTGCAATATTACAATTCTATTATAAAACAATTGAACAATTTTCTAATTTTAATCAAAAATTTAAATTCTTTGTTTCTTCTTTTCTTTGATTTTTATTGAAAAAAATGTTTGTTCAAAAAAAATATATAATGTGTTTGTTCTTTACGTTGAATATCGAACGTAGTTCACAGTAATAATGGTGTTGAAATAAATAAATAAATAAAAAAAGAAGAAGAAAGGTTTAAGTAGTTTAATAGTTCGTTGGACGTTTTAAACAACCCACCTTCACAGGCGGGCGTCGCGACGCTCACTGATCCGGCGTCGTAATCGTCGTATTCGTCGTATTCGTCGTAGTCGTCGTAGTCGTCGTAGTCGTCGTTGTGAACTCCCAACTCGACACCACTACCACCACCACCACCACCACCATTACCATTTCTACCTTCAGAAGGGTGGTTTTTTCTTCTTTCTTTCTTCTTCTGTATATTTCTATCCAAGAAGGAGGAATCTCTGATCAAAGGAAAATCATCACACTGTGTGACGACGACGACGACGACGACGACTCTCTTTTACATATTACTTTTGAAAACTTCAAGAGAATATTGTTCTGTTAAAATATTCATATATATATATATATATATATACATACACATACATACATACTATTTATATTAAATTGAAAAAGTATTTTTCTTTTATGTGTGTATATGTTAAAAATACTTGTATGTATTTCATATGTGTGTACAAATGTTATTTTGTACATTGCTGAGCACAAGCAATGCATGAAGTGCTTTATCATTTTTTTTGTTTTTTGGTTTTATATTTATCATTCATTTAATTATTAACATTTTGTTGTTTAATTGTCCATTAATAATAAAAAAAATTATTTTATTAATAATATTATATTATTAATTTAAAAATATATCAGAGAGCTCTACTACAATCGAATTTACTTGTGTTGAATTAATTTTGATATTACACTTTCAATAATAATAATAATAAATGTTTAATATTGATTATTCCATTTTTTTTTTTTTTTTTATTTGATTTGACATATTTAAAAGGAAAAAAGTAAGATTGTAGGAAATAAAAAAAATTACAGTTAAATTTATATGAAAAACAAATAAGAAAACTTCAATTACATTTAAAAGTACCAACCACAAGTAAGTGTTCATTTGAATGATCAAATATTATTCCCAAGAAGAAAAATATTTCTCTAAAACTCGTAAACGAAACTATATATATATATATAAAGTAGTTGTGAAGTAGAAAAAGCATCTTAGTCAAATAATTTGGCAAGTTTTTCCTATAAACACTTTTTATTTGTTTTGATAATACTAAATCGTATTTGAAACGATCAACGAGAATCATTTTATTCAAATTTATTGTACGATCGAATATAAATAAAAAAGAAAATGTGTTTTCACGCTTCTATAATAAAATAAAATCAAATCAAATAAAATAAAAAAAAAAAACAGGTACTTAATAGATGTATACAAAAATTTTTAATAAAATTTACAAAACATTACTTGTAAGTACAAAATATTTAATAAAGAAAATAATCTAATTAATTTCATTAAATAATAATAATAATATTAAATAATATTATAATATTACATTAGTATTATTAAATATTATAATTATTTAATAATTTTATTTTCTAATTAATTTAATTTAATTTAATTTAATAATTTTATATTTCATTTTCTTAAATATGATTTAACAATTTCTTTCTATTCAATATTTTATATTTTTTTTTTTATTTATTTTTTTTTTTGAAAAAATAACATGATGACGTGAAAATACGAATATTCTTCCATTAAACATTCGTAAGATAAATCAAGATTTGTAATACGTGTTACATTGGAAAATAAATTAAATCAATTTCTATTTCAATCGAAAAGGAATCTATTTATAGTTTAGAATTATATACCAATGAAGTTATTTTTATCATTTTCCTTTACAAATTGTAATAGCAAAAAGAGAAACATAATGGCACAACACACACACACACACACAGAGGTTCGATTGCAAGTCATAAATTTTATCTGATAATAATGAATCTACTACTACCCCACAACCCCTTTTTTTTCATACGATCAATCATATTTTTGCGATATCAAACGTGTACACGATTTATTTAACATTTTATGTATAACATTACAAACTCATTTATAATTACATAAATAAAACGTGTAAATAAAAAAAAAAAAACAAAACCAAAAACAAAACCTTGTAATAAATTGCAATCATTTGACCAATATATCTTATCTTCTTAATATATATAAATTACGTGTCACGTTGTTTGTCCGCAATGAACTCTTCAATTACTGAACTGATTTTAATCAAATTTTGCACACTGTGTGCAGTTTTATTCAACTTGAAAGATAGGATAGTTTATATCATTCTAACAGATGACGGTATAAGGTAATTTGTTGACTTAAAGATGTGTGATCCACAGCAACTCGTGGCGCGGCACCCCTAGTATATATATATATGGATCTCTAGCACTTGAATACGCTATCTGGTGGCTAAATTTAAAATTAGAATAAGTAGGTTGAATTGCTACACCACGTGGGATGGATCTGTAGCACTTGAATACACTATCTGGTAGCTAAATTCAAAATTACGCCCCCCATTAATCCACGCCCCTTCCAGAAATCCCAATATATATTTATTAACATAAAAAAATAAACAAATCGTTTGATAAATAAATAATCAATTTTCTAACATGCCCAATGAAATAAATAAAAGGAATATGTTTCATCTAAAATTTCATTTGTTTGAAAATGACCATACAGGAAGAGGGGGGGGTAGTTTCGTTTCTCAACGTTATGGCGTAAAAAACAATAAGCGTTCTAGATAACTCAGGTAATGGGACCAAATAAAAGAAAATGGTCGTCCTTCGTATATAACAATGGACAATGTTTCCCTATACTACGATTATATGCTGCTTTATTAATGAGTTCAGAAATGGAATGGCATGCGTGTAAAACCGATAAAAACAACTCACCTAGTTAGTACGTCCAAGTGTTTCGTTTCTATTTGCTTTTTTTTTTGTTTTTTGTTGTTTTAAATAAAAACACACGTTAACTCGGATGCAACATATCGTTTTATTATTAATCATCTTATCTGTTAAATATGTTTATTTAAAATTATATTAAAATACACGTTTTATCTATACACACTTGTGTGTGTGTGTGTGTGTGTGTGTGCTGAGAAAGAGAGATACATGTGTCGTGACCTTTTGAAAATATCATCGAAACTTTGTATCTTCTTTGTTTATTATAATCCCGGATGTAAATTATTATTAAATATTTTACGGTATTTTCAAACAATAGAATAAAATGCAATATGTTAATAACAATAACAATGACATTAACATAATTTAAGAATAAATTTAAAGAATATCAGAAGAAGAAGAAAAAAAAACAAGTAAATCGTTAACCACACCACTATGTACCTTTTGTAAGGCTTCTAGTAAAGCTTGCAAGCTTCTAAACCGAGTTTAAACGCACGTAAATCGAGCAGAGAGAAAACGTCACGAAATAATACTATTTTCAAGATCTCTGATATATTTTAAATCTATTCAATAATATCCGTGTGCATTGTTTTTATTGAAATAAATTAAAATAACATTGTGATTTCTAAATTATAGTTTTTTTTTTTATTAATTTTTCTCTTTTCAATAAAGTATATTATAAAAACAGTTACACATTGATATATAATATATAATAATAATAATATAATTAATTTCTAGATTCATTGTATTTTGTGTTTGTAATGTATTATTACATCAGTAAGTAATTGTAATGAATATATTTTGGGATATATGAAACATAATCTCTATATATGATTGTATCACAGTAGACATAGGAAATAGTCTGTAAATGATTCACAAGTAGTTTTTTGTTTGTTCTTTTCTCTGTATATGCATTAAAAACGTATTACTACAGTTAAATATATATATATATATATATAATATAAATCTTTTTCATTTTACAATTATATGAATAATATATATATATATATATATTATTGTATACATTGAGGTTTTTGTATTGATTTTATCTATAGACAAAAAATAGTTTTAATAAATGATCATAAACTTTTAGGTTCATATTTTTCATCCGATTGAACAACGTAATGTGACAAAGCTTGTCCAACTTTGATGGTTTGTCCAATATTAAGACAAAATTGATAATCTTTAGGTGCTTCGAATAAAAGTACAATTGTAGATCCCATTCTGAATTCGCCAAATAATTGTCCTTTGGATATATGAGTACAATTTAAACTGGCATCTTCCCAACGTTTCATTTTCGGCCAGATTATTTTGTTAGTAGTTAATTCCTTATCACAATAGATTTTAATAGAACCAACATTGGTCGCTCCTACTGCTGCATAAGCCATAAAACCTTCTGACCATTCTCCGATGTATACAACACGTTCGTTGATAGAAAATAAATCAGGTAAAAAGCTAGCTATCTTTGGATTGACGCTTAATAATTTACCTGTAAATAATGTGATACATAGTTATATTATAATAATATTTTATTAAATACGAATGAAAGGATAATAAAACCAAATACCTTGAAAGTGTTTTCGAGATTTTATTTCCCAATCGGTTGGACTATGAAAACGATGATAATCGCCTGGGGCTAAATAAACTGTTACTTGATACAATTGATTATCTGCATTTTTTAAAAGACTCTTTACATATGTTTTATTGTCCTCTTCCGTATATGTTACTCTTTCCTTAGATCTTTTAGGATCTTCATCTCCTAAAAAGTGCCTAAGATCGTATGTCATTCCTTTGACTTGTTCCACTCTGCAAGATGTTACTGGTCCAAAATGAAGCACTGTACCATCTGATGGGGAAACCTATAATCAAATATATTTGAATTTATTATATTATAGAAAATATACTAAGTACTTGTGTAATTACCATATTTGAATTTTTAGCAATAGGTCTTGCTTCTTCTTTGAGAGGTCTTACAAAAAAGTCTACCAAGGTTGGAAATCCTGATAAATCGCCAGCTACTTCTTCCAAATCAGCGTTAAAAAGTTTTGCATAACATTGATATATACCTGGTCTTAAACTAATAGGTACTTCTCTATTAGCTATCCAACCCCATATTCTACTTGTTATCCTTAACGGAAGGCAACAATAGCAATTTACCTTAATGCAAAAAGAACATTTACTTTGACACATGAAACTTTTCAAATTTTTCTTTGACATGCCACAATGTAAATAAATATTATAAATACGTACTATAAAATCATTTAATGGTCCTTGAACAACTTCACCATCTGACGTATGTCTACTTTTCCTAAGATGCCTCCATTGAAAAAAGGCAATCAAAGAAACACCTATTCCTAAGGGAATAACAAACTTCAATTTTCCCATAATACTAATCTTGGATGCTATTTGTGTTCGGTTAGAGGTTGCATGTGATGCGTTCCTTTTTACCATCCTTTGTTCTCCTTCCAACTGCATTAAATTTTTCGAGTCATGCATAATAATGTTCCGACTGTATACTTTTCTGAAACGGAGATTAATAGTAATATTATCAATAAATAAAAAATGATTTATCCTAACCTATAGATACATACCCCCCATGTTGAAATAGCCTTAAGTATGGGAAATTCCACGGACTTGCCACCAGGCGTCGCATATTCAAATTAAAAGCACACATTTCTTCTTACTAAAGCTCTCGGATATCGGTATTCCTGTTATACAGAATCTCTTTAATTACCTCGATCAAACTTGCATGGTTACTTTTTGCATAATGAAAGAAACGTCAGTGCGCTAGTTTCTATAACCTAAAAAAAAAAAAAAAAACCCTGAAAAATTCATAACCGATTCTCACGGGTATTCATGAATAAAAACAAAGGGAATAGAAGTAAGAAAGTATATATAATAAATTCTATAAGAATAATCGTCCGACATGCAACGGTAGAATAAATAATAAGCATACTAAAAAAAGTCCGATGGCGCGACAAATATGGATTATTGCGCATGCGCAATTAATTTGAACGTGCCAATCTCGTTTCGCAAGTTTTGCACTCCTATTTCTTCCTTCTCTCTCTCTCTCTTTTACAAGCTCATAAAGATGCATGCGTGAGAGAGAGAAAGAATGAGAGTAAAGGAGGTGGTAGAGGAAAGGAGAGGGAGGAAAGAGGGCGCGGGTTGTTAATATATACTTGCGCAGTAGTGTGCGGTAACGCGGAGACGTCATAGGAGGAGGAGGAGCGTGCCAGAGAGCAGCTGATGTTGGCATAAGAAGGTGGTAATATAACAGGTGGCTCCGCGGCGTGGCAGGTGGATGCATTTCTTCCTCTTTTTCCTCCCCAGTTTGTCTGCTGTCGACAGTAGTAGTGCGCGTTATCCATTGTTTTCTGACGTTTACGTTACCTGGTGTCTCTCCTATACATACACGTTTGAATATGAGCACACGCGGATACACATGCATACACATATATAAATATATACATGTATAAAAAGAATGAGGTATCGGATATCGCGTGTAGCAATAATACAGATACACACGTATACAAATATAAACGTCAGGTAGGAGAAAAGAAGAGCAACAGCAGCAGTGGTATCATCCCCACCAGTAAATGCAACAGTGCCATTAACGTTGAACAGCAACAACAGCAGTTCCAGCAAGACATCAGCACGGTTGAACGAGCAGAACGTCGTTGGTCCACTGGTGACGGCCGCAGCGACGGCGCAGGTTGTTCGACATCAAAAAATGACACATTCGAGTTTGAAGTATCGAGGCTCCTCGTTGCGGTAAAAATTCATCACTGTGCGTTTATCGATAGGACACCATTTATTTGATTTGATTTTATTTACATTTACTGCAAGCTACTTGTGTTGTGTTTTATCATCGTGCTTTTTATACACTTACCTTAACAACTGCCTTTGTCTCTTTCTCTCTCTCTCTCTCTCTCTCTCTCTCTCTCTCTCTGTCTCTCTTGTTTTTTTTTTCTTACTCCTTTTCTTTTACCCTTTTTTCTCTCTCTCTTTCTCTCTCACTCTCATTGTGTTACTTTGTTATTCGCGAGGTTATAATAATATTCTCTAAAGTGGTTTTTACGCGCGTATGAAGGGCCGTGGATTTGGGATAATAAAGAGTGAAACAATGCCGCCGTCCTCGCATGCGAACTGGACGAAACCGTTGCTGAAGGGAGGCCAGATGATGCAGATGCAGGTAAAACGAGTTACCGAAAGGAACGGACAGAATCTAAATTCCAACGGGAGTAGTAACAACGATAACAACGGTGCTAATATTCCAACCGATAGAAGAATCAAAGTGGTCCTTGTAGGAGACGGTGCCGTTGGCAAAACTAGTTTGGTTGTTTCATACTCGACTAATGGTTTTCCTGGTGAATATGTGCCCACTGCATTTGATAATTACAAAGGTACATTTCAAATATTATTTACAATAGAAAAAAAAACAAGACACTACACTGATCAATTGATTGATTTTATTTATTACAATTTCTTTAGTTTCTTAGTTTGATTTATTATTTATTTAATTATTTATTTTGTTTCCTTGTTGTTTTTTTTAATTTTTTTTTAATAATGATTCACACGTAAGATTAAACGATTAAATGGAACGTGAGAGAAAACGCGGGCGATATTTTTTTCATTTGAATCTCCTTCATGCATCGATAATTATAGAGATCGATGTCTATTGACAATTCTACTTGAACGAGGTGCCATTTCTTATCTTTTCCTTGTCGATATGATAAAATAGTGTTATGAGAGATAGATAAATTATTTTTTCTTTTTTTTTTATAATATTACACTTCATAAATGGCTATATCATTTAATAATAAATTAATGATGATTACTCTTTCATCATTATACCTTGTTAAATTTTCTTATTATTATATTAGAAATTATGAATTAATTTGAATATAATATTATTAATGTAATCATTTTAATAATTGATTTTAGTTGTGGTTAATGTTGATGGACAACCAGTAAACGTTCAACTCTGTGACACTGCAGGACAGGATGATTTTGATCCTTTAAGATCCCTATGCTATCCAGAAACAGATGTATTTTTAGTATGCTTCAGTGTCGTATGCCCATCTTCTTACCACAGCGTTGCATCATGGTGGATCAACGAAATTAAAAAATACTGCCCAAATGCTCCAATAATTTTAGTTAGTTTCATTGATATATTATTGTGATTATAACAAATAAATATAATTATATTAATTTAAATCATATTTTGTAGGTAGGAACAAAAAGTGATCTAAGATCAGATGTACGTTTGATGCTACAGTTAGCAAGATATGGTCAAGCACCGATCACAACTGATCAAGGTCATCAATTAGCTCAACGATTAGGTGCAGTAAGTTACGTAGAAACATCTGCATTAACTCAACACGATTTAAAAGAAGCTTTTGATCAAGCTATCGTCAGTGCTCTCAATGCTAGACGTGGTGGTGGTGGTACTGGAATAATAATCAGACGTAGAAAACCACCATCGTTATGGCGTAGATGGTTATGTTGTTTAGAAAGACCACAGTCAAACGATACGTAGATTTTATTCTTAAGACTCTCTAGAATGACTCTGTGATCGTAAGCATAAGCTGCCTTGCTGTAGGAACTACTATCATCCATGGATATTTAATGGAATATCGTTACAAACTTTATTACAGTTTTGTAACTCGACTGTTGTTAAAAGGATACACCATAACGTGGTGATCAGTCCTGGAATAATTCCTCAAGCCCATCGCGGCATAATAATTTATTATAATATTAATTAGAAATTTTGGTTGTATGTATGACGTGTAATTCAGCAGCTACTCCGCTGGTTGTGATTTTATATCCGTAATATTTCTTCAACGTTATTATTAATAATATTATTATTTTTTTTTGTTTTTTAATTATTTTTAAGATTCGTTAAACTCAAATTGTTATCGTCATGAAAGTTAAAGTTGCATTAACTTTTCATTTTATTTATGATTATTTGAAAAAAAA